ACACACACACACACACACACACACACACACACACACACACAAAATCATGCTATGGCAGAGACTGGGTAGGGTTCACTAAATCAGTTTCCACCTGTGCACACAGGTAAACATTTCTGAGTCCCTCTTGCAGTTTGGTGAGGCCATATGATAGTTTTAGCCAATGGAACAGGAGTGCAAGCATATGCCACTTCCAGACTTGGCCCACGAACACCTCCCACGTGAACCCGCACTGTCCTGTCTCCCTTCATCTGGCTGCATAGCAATGGCCTGGGTCCTGAGTGACTGCTTGGAGTAAAGCTCACCCACCCCACCCCCATTAATTATCTTTAATGTGGAGGGAAATTACTATGCTAAGACTCTGGCACTTTGGGGTTACTCTGTTAAAGCAGATAGTTACCCTAACACACGCACACATACACCACTACTTTTACCCCTTATACCAAAGAGACCCAAAGGACAGCTGACTTAGAAGGGCCTTGAGAAACTGGCCCTTCAATAAGTTAAATTTCCTTATTGAACAGATGGGTGGCAGAATGAGGCCCAAGAGAGGGGATGTTACTTGCTCAGGGCCACACAGCAAGATAGGGCTACAGATAGTCTTGGAAGCCAAGAGGGCTACCTCAGTCCCAAATTTCATAGCTAATGTCTGAAGGTGCTGCCCACCCCCTGAAATGGCAGGTAGGTAGGCTTGGGTACCTGTCTTTGGGGCTTGGTGCTCTCTGCTGGCAGTAGAAAGCGCTGACCCAGGACAGTGCCCACGCGGGCAGAGTATGTGTGATCCCCGAGCACAGGGCAGAGCTGTAGTACCATGTGTACCTGGAGCTGACTGGGGAACACTGGGGGACAGGAGAGAGATGACAGGGTGGGCAGCTGCTCTATCTGCCCCACCCAGGTTCATCACTCCCCCTTTCCTCTGGGAAAACAACACCACTCCGCTCCCATTCCCAGATCATGTGGTTTCAGTGACGTCAATGCTACTGCCCCTACCTCCAGAGCAGGGTGAAAGACCAGGTCAGGACAGTCCTATCAATCCACCTGGCCTGTGGGATTCGCTTGTGAAGAGATACAACCCTGAATTTACTGCTGAAGCTACTGGAAACAAGGAATGCTCTTTCCTGTGAGGGTGCTAAACTGGTGGGGTGCAGGTCAGGAGCTGCTGGAGCCCTGGCCATCTCTACCTTCACCACAGGATAGCCTGTGGGAGAAAGAAGCCAACATGCCCGAGGCAAGAAGAAATGGAGAAACAGCTTCCAGAGGACGTCCTCTGAGCCTCTTGATCCAGGAACACCTAAACTTAAGTTGTATGAACCAATACATTCCCTGTTTTTGGCTGACACCAATTTGAACAAGTTTTTGGGAAACTGACAACCAAAAGTACCTTGACAAATACAGAATTGGGGGGCTGTGTGCTAGGCATGGTACAAAATGCTTTACTTATGTAAACTTATTTAATCCTCATGACAGCCCTATAAAGCAGATCCTATCATCATTCCCATCTTACACATAGGAAAACTGAAGCTCAAAGAGAAGTGACTTGCCTACCACCATAAGCTAGGATTCAAACCCAGGAGCTATACTCTGCTTCCATGTCCGGCAATATGGTGGACTGGATAATCTAAAAACCCTTTTGCTGGGTGCCTGGGTGGTTCAGTTAGTTAAGCATCCAACTCTTGATTTCGGCTCAGGTCATGATCTCACAGTTCATGGGTTCAAGTCCCATATATGACAGTGCAGAGCCTGCTTGGGATTCTCTCTCTGCCCCTCTCACACTCTCTGTCTCAAACCAAATAAACTTAAAAAAAAGTTTAAAAACCCTCTTGCTATAAACCACCTAGAAACACCAGAAAAATAGAACAATCATCCTTTTAAATATGCATCTGGGCATATAGGAAAGTAAGATCCCAAGACCAAAACCAGGGGAAAACAAATCCAGAGCACACAGAGCCAACGTTTCACCTATTCTAGGGATACTGCCAATCTTGAGTATCCAGGGCCCTTGGGGTTAAGTAGCTACCCAGGGGCCAGGGGTGAGGCCTTAGTACCCAAATGAAATACTAGAGGGGCTACATCTCCAGTGATGGGGTGGACTAGGAGCAAAAGCCAGTCAACGGTAGATAAGTGGGGAATGAGAAAGTTTCCCCTGAGAATTCGCAACCATGAGCCTGCTCTCACACAGGTGTGGGGCTCAAAGTAACACTACTTGAGTGATCTGTGAACTTCCAATGGAGACAATATTTAGAGAGATCCTGAACTAGTGACAGCCCTGGGGCATTTGACAGAAGCAAAGGCAGAACCTCTCCCGAGAGGCTTATCTACAGTGAGGCAACAAAAGACTTCCAAAGATAAAGGCCTAGCTGAACTTGAATTCACAATCCTAAATCACAGAGTAATGAGAAAACCATTCACCAAGTATTAGAGTCAGCATGAAACATCACAGGATTAGACCCTCCAGAATCTTAGACAATGAAAATATAGAAATACAACATACAAATATGTTTAACATGGTTAAAGACAAAAAATAACAATTGAGAAAAAAAAGATGCTATATATTTTTAAAGGCCATTTTTATTTGTAAAACAACCAAATAGAACTTCTAGAAGTGAAAAATACAGCCAATGGATAGGCTGAACTGGCAGATTAGATCCAGTTGAAGAGAAAACTATTCACCTGGAAGACAGAGCTAAAGAAATTACCCAGAATGCAACAAGGATTAAGAAATAAAAAATATGAAAGAAAAGAGACCAAGCAAGGAGAATGAGAAGGTCAGACACATCTCTTAGGCATACAAAAGGAAGAGAATAGAGAAAATGCAAGAGGTGCAACACTGGAAGAGAGAAAGAACATTCCAGGATGGATGAAATATATTAATGTTCAGATTCAGGTGAATCCCAAGCAAGACAAATAAAACTAAACCCACATACCTATCAGACTTGGCATCGTGAAACCACAGAACACCAAAGACAAAGAAAAGATCCTGAGATCAGTATGAAAAAAATAATAAGATGAGCTACAAAGGAATGACCACCAGACTGACAGAAGTGCTACCTCCTCCAGATGGGCCTGATTACCTACCCCTGGGGTCCCTCAAATGCTCCCCAGGCTTCCATTAACACCACCACCTTCTTTCCATCCCCCTTGCCTCCTCCAGCCAAATAGAGGTATGAAGGCTGGCTGGGGCTCCAGACCCACCTGTCAGTGGCTGCAGTTGGACCAAGGCACAGCCAGAGCCCATGGCCACCACATGGAAGTGGCTGAGGGTCCTCTTGACACCTTCTTGGAAGTCTTTTCGGGATGGGGACTTCACTGGAATTACCTGTGGTGTCAGCCCCCAAGAATGAACAAGCTTCACACACACCTGGCACCTAAGCCCAGACCCTCGCTGCTGCTAATAGACAGGGCCATAGTATAAGTAGTGGTTACTTGCCTGTTTTAGGGGACAGGAGAGCCAGCCCCCCCCCCCCCCCCCCCCCCCCCCCCCCCCCCCCCCAAGTCTCTACCCTTGATTCCTCTGTAGGGATAATATATTTGGAGAGTCCCCTTCTGCTCCCTGCCAGACCATGACTCACAAGATCAACGCCATCAACGTGTTCCAGTTTCAAAGCTGCTTGGATCTTCCCCTCAGAAGTAGCTGGGATCCCATCAGTGACAGCACTAAGAAAGAGGCAGGAAGAGGTCACAGAGTGGCTTGCCAGGACCTCCCTACTGCCATGGGAGCCTCCCAGCACCACTCACCAGTAGTTGGCTGTGGGCCTCTGGGCTCTCCGTGAGTAGATGAAGAACTTTTGGAGGCGGCTGGCTGTCTGAGGACAACTGGAGAGGAGTACAAGCCCAGAGGTCTCTCTGGAGAAAGAGGATAAATCACAAAATTGAAGTCCCTTGGGCTCACCCCCAAAAAAGGGAGCATGCTTGGGAAGGCACACTGGCCTGCTTAAGGCAAAGCAATCACACCAGAACTATAACTCAAGACCTCCTCCTGAGAAACAAGAAAGACTTTCTCATGTTTGATACTAAGACTACATAATTTAATGTGCTCATTTTGCCCTGGTCCCCAAGGAGCTCAGAGCCAAATGTCATAACAATTACCCCCACTGCTGAATGTCTACAATGTGCCAGGCATTACAGTAGGAATTCTGTGTATAATAGCTCATAAATAATTAAATTCCCCACAAGCCTACGAGTTTGTGGAATTTCAGAAATATTTCATCCAAGTACCGGCTCTAGTTGATAGCAGTTTTAGAGGAAAGAATATTATGGGTCAACGAGCAATGCCTGCCATGATTATGGTATTGGAGAAGTGACTGCACGCTGAGCATAGGTATGATTAGCTCTATTTTATTATTAAGGGAACTGAGGCTCAGTGAGTTTTCATGCTTTGCCTGTGATCACAGTTTGTGCGTATGGATTTGAACCCAGATCTGTTCACTCCCTCCTTTTCCTTGCATCCTTCCTCTGTGCTCCCAAACCAGCCTGTGGAAAATGTCTCGACCTACTCCCAAGCAAGTGTTCCCTCACCCAAGATGGATACCTGTCCTCCTACATTCCTATCACCGCCCGCACCATCACTTACTTCCCAGATGCTTGCACAACCTGGAGCTCCTGATCCCCAAGCCCCAGGGACTGGCTCAGCTCTGGCAGCACTGAGAACAATGTCAACTCTCCTGGTTTTCCTGGGGGGACAAAAAAGGAAGGAAAAGTACAAGTTGCTCTCAGAGGCCTTTGGCTTTATCCCACTGACCCGTTCTCTTCAGTATCCCCTCCCTCAGAACCTTCAAACCCTCTTTCACTACATTCCCATCCCCTGCCCGTACCTGTCACTGGTAGACCCGGTGGCTTATTCAATGTCACTAGAGGTCCTAAAACATATATTACATGAGCATGAGCAACACAAAAGCAGCAGTTAGAGTTTATAAAGTACTTTCTCAATTCATCTTATCTTGTGACCCCACTACAACTCTCAGACCTGAGTTATCAACTACACCCTAAACTGAACTTCTTTCTGTCCTTCACATATGCTAAGCTAGTTGCCACCTTAGGCTTTTATACTTGCTGTCCCAGATTTTCACATGTCTGACTCTTTCATATCATCTCGGCTCAAATGTTGCCACCACAGAGAGGCCTGACTCCCCAACCTAATGTCTGCCACATGGTCATAATACCCTGTTTTATTCATAGCATTGATCACTAGTAAGTACTTTGTTCACTTATTTCCTGATGAATCCATTTCTGCCACTAAAATATTAGCTCCCTGGAAGCAGGAACCATATTTATCTTGTTCAGCACTGTATACCTGTGCCTAGAACAGTGCCTGGAACAAAGCCTCTATTCAATAAACAGTTGAGAGAATTAACAAATCACTGAATGGAGACTGAGGCTCAGAGAAATTATTTTCCTACAGCCACACAGTAAGCTGATTACAGAGCCTCGATCTGACTCCAAAGCCTGTGTTTTGTCCATCGGTAAACAATTTCTTATGGCAATTCCTATTACCAAGTGCCTACTATGTTGAAGACTCTCTAGTTATTTGCACCCTCTCACCCCCATCCCCACGATGCTGAGGCTCAGACAGATTATGAGGCCTGTTCCAGGTCATACCACCAGTGGGAGGCAACACGAGGATATGACCCCAAAGACTTTAGCAGGGAGCCCTGTCAGCCCCTAGAAGGCTCTGAGCAGCAGGCTCCCCTCCAGAGTCTGTGTGCAGCTGCCCCTCCCACCCCTCACCTTTCTGGTCCACTACTGCAGCCCTCAGCACATCAACCAGCTCCTCCCGACCGAGGTTCTCTAGCTGCAGCAGCCCCGGGAATGGCTGGGGCCTCGACCGTTTGCTGGAGCCTCCGGGTCGCAGCCGATGTCTGAAAAAGGTAGAGTACGCAGTAGGAAGGATCACTCGTTTCCTGAGAGGTATCCATTCTTATCTCCCCACACCTTATATACTGCCACCTCCTACAAATGCCTCAGAATGCCTGGGGTGAGCTTCCCGCAAGTTCAGGCACATCTGGCCCCATTTTACAGAGGAGGAAACTGAAACTCAGAGAAACCAAGTGAGTAGTTTAGGGTCGGTCACACAATAGTGGCGGGATTAGAACCCATGCCTACCGAAGTCCAGATACCACACACACTTTACCCCGGCCCCACCGTCCCACCCACACGAAGGGGCGGGAGAAGGGGTAATCACCCGGCTTCGGTGCCAAAGCCTGGGGCCTTGGGCACTGCGCGGACCCCTGGCCGCCGCCGCCATACACCCCAGATCCGGCCCAAAACACTGCAGCCACCCATCTCCCGAGCAAGGACAGTGCGCATGTGTGGAGAAGGGCCGACCCGCTCTCCCACAGCGTACTGATTGGTCAGAATGCCTGTCAATACAACTGGCGATCCGGCTGGCTCAGAGGCGTGAGAAGGCGGAGCTTTGCCTTCCTGCAGGCAGAAAATGTTTTACTTCCAGTCTGTGCTTTTGAGGAAACTGAGGCACAGAGCAGCTAAGGAATTTACTCGCGATCACAGGACTTGTCTTAGGACAAAACAGGAACGAAAGATTAAGGTACTCTGATTACCATTCCAATTCATAGGAGCTTCTGACTTCAAAAAACCACCTGTGGGGCGCCTGGCTGGCCCAGTAGGTAGAGCATAGGATTTTTGATCCCCACTTTGGGTGTGGAGATTAATTAAAATTAAAATCTTTTTTTTAATGTCTTTTTTTTTTTTTTTTTTTTTGAGAGAGAGAAGAGCGCAAGCGGAGGAGGGACACAGAGAGAGAGGGAGACACAGCATCTGAAGCTGGCTCCAGGCTGTCAGCCCAGAGCCCGATGCGGGGCCCAAACTCGTGTACTGAGAGATCATGACCTGAGCCCAAGTCCAAGTCCACTGTTTAACCGACTGAGCCACACAGGCACCCCTAAATTAAAATCTTAAAACAAAATACCACTGTGCCCAATTTTGTAAGGCAAATTGAGGGGGAAAAAAAAGTCCCCTTTGGTCCAGTAAGCCTGCTTGGAAGAACAGCCTGGTGCATAATCAATCCAAAAGAAGAAAAGAGTCTGAGGGAGAATGAGATTCACTACAGCATTATTTATCAAAACAAAATCAAAACAAATCTCAAAACTGAAGACATAAATTGTCCTATGATTAGCTCTGTAGGGAACATAAATCTAATATATCACCAATTCAACATTTTTTTAACGCTAACTCTATACCAGGCCCTGGCATCTCTGAGCTGGAATCAGGGATCAACAAGGCAAGCCCTGACAACAAGAAGTTCACCCCGTGGACACAGATCACAGCACACACAGCACACCACAGCCCACCTTGCTAAACCCTGTGCAGATGCTGAGAGAGTAAAAGGAGACGAGCTGAGTGAAATCAGAGAGCAAGTTCCAGCATGTGTGGTGACAGAAGGGTTGTGAAGAACTAGAAATGCACCAGGAGGAACAGGTACTGGGAAGAAGGGAGGCAGAGGCAGGGAACAACAGGAGAAATGAGATGTTAAGTGAAAAACAAAGAACATGGGTTTTATCCTATAATTACACCTATACAAAACTTACATGCAGCTTGTGTATTGTTTATTTACTAAAAAAACTGTAACTTTCAATTCATTGTTCAGGAAAAGACTGAACATCAACAGAGGAGTGGCTAAGTCAGTTGTAGCATATCCATACTATGCAGCCGTTGATTAAGGAATGTGTATGTCTGTATCTGCTTATGTGAATCAGTTTCCAAAATATATTAAAGCAAAAAAGGAAAAGGGAGGACAAGTGTGACTAGAATATGCATATGTGTGTGTGATTCATATATATGTATTACATTTTATGCCTTTACATTTGTGAAAGGACACACAAAAACGAGATGGTGTTTGCTTCTGGAGAAGGAATCAGGGGTGAGAAGATGAATAATGATTTTACCCTTTGGAATCGTGTAAGTTTTTTTAATCTTGTTGATATGTTTTGCTGGTTTAAAAATCTAAGCCAGATATGAAAGACTGTATGATTCGTAAAATGTTTTAAATGCCAGCCAGGTGCCCCCCCACAAATAATTTTAAGTAAAATTAGGTAGATGGGGAGCACCTAGGTGTCTCAGTCAGTTAAGCATCTGTCTGTTGATCTCAGCTCAGGTCTCGATCTCAGGGTTGTGAGTTCGAGCCCCATGCTGGGCTCCAGGGTAGACATGAAGGCTACTTAAAAAAAAAAAAGAGGGGCGCCTGGGTGGCTCAGTCGGTTAAGTGTCCGACTTCGGCCAGGTCACGATCTCGCGGTCGGTGAGTTCGAGCCCCGCGTCAGGCTCTGGGCTGATGGCTCAGAGCCTGGAGCCTGTTTCCGGTTCTGTGTCCCTCTCTCTCTGCCCCTCCCCCGTTCATGCTCTGTCTCTCTCTGTCCCAAAAATAAATAAACGTTGAAAAAAGAAAAAAAAAAAACACAGGGCACCTGGGTGGCTCAGTTGGGTGAGCGTCTGATTTCGGCTCAGGTCATGATCTTGCAGTTGTGAGTTCGAGCCCGGTGTCGGGCTCTGTGGTGACAGCTCAGAGCCTGGAGCCTGCTTCAGATTCTGTGTCTCCTTCTCTCTCTGCCCATCCACCGCTTGTGCTCTGTCTCTCTCTCTGTCTCTCAAAAATAAATAAATACATGTAAAAAAAAATTAAAAAAAAGAAAACAGTAGAAATGAATTTTTTTAAAGGCTATATGATTCTACTTACATGACATTTTAGAAAAGGAGGCAAGCTATATTGGCAGAAAAGAGTCAAGGGTGGGGTGAGTAGAGGTTGGGAAGTAGAGCATAAGGGAACTTTTTGGCATGCTAGAAATGGTGGTTACATAACAGTATGAATTTGCCAAAACTAAAAAACAAACAAACCCAAACTTAATTGTCTATACCTTAAAAGGGGAAAATTCATTTTATGTAAATTATACCTCAAGAAACTTATCTTTTTATTTTTAATTCAAAGATTTAAATAATCACTTTTTTAATAGATGTACCCGAATAGAGACAGAACTGACAAGACATTTGGCAAGAGTGCAAGTGGTTTTTATCTTGTTTTGGGCTCAGACAGTACTGTGCTTTGTCATAAGGCCCCACAGCATTTTAATAACCCTCTTCTGAAAGGCCTCCTGTGCTTTCATAATAAGTACCAGCTTGAGCAAAAGTGGAAAGACTAAGGCCCAGGGGCTGGTACACGGTGTGCCTTAACTGCAACAGACCTCTCCTCCACTGAGGGCACTTGGCCATGGGAGAGGCCGTTTCCCCAGTTGGACTGGCCTCAGGCTCTCTGAGGTCCCGTGCTCTCTGGAATTTTTCTTTCATATACACTAGCCTCATCAAAGACTGACCTCTCCTGTTCACTGCCCACAGCTGGTATGACTCCATTAGTCTCCAGGTTCCTGGAGGAAAAGGAAGAACCTAATATTCCCTGAGCTGAGAGGGCTCAATGCCAAGAGACTGTGGTCAGTCACTCAAAACTTACTTGTGAAACTCTGAGTCTTAGGAGGAGGAAAGATTGGACACATTCCAAACTTCTGCCACCCTTAGCCCAACTCGGCTTATGACTAACTTCACCAGAGGGGCAGATAGCTTACTTAAAAAAAAATTAAAAAAAGATTAAAAAAAAAAAGGACACTTGGCTGGCTCAATCAGTAGAGCATGCAACTCTTGATATCAGGGTTGTGAGTTCAAGCCCCAGATTGGGCATTAGGTGCAGCGTTTACTTAAAAACTAAATAGGAGTGCCTGGGTGGCTCAGTCGGTTGAGTGTCCGACTTCGGCTCAGGTGTTGATCTCACGGTTTGTGAGTTCGAGCCCCGCATTGGGCTCTGTGCTGACAGCTCAGAGCCTGGAGCCTGCTTCAGATTCTGTGTCTCCCTCTCTCTCTGTCCTTTCCCCACTCTTACTCTGTCTCTCTCAAAAATAAACATTAGAAAAAATGTTTTTAATTAAATACATAAATACATTAATGTTAAAAAAAGAAGAAAAGAAGAGGGGCAAGTTGGTCGTAGCCTCTGCATGTGCTTGTATGAACATGGTGCCTCCACATGGAAAGGCCTACCCTGCAGAGCCAGGACAGCACTGAGCCAGGCCTCTAGCCATAAATGCAAGAGCAGGAAAGCCCAGAATAGAAACTATTTTCCTGTTAGCTCTGCACCCCTCCCACACATGGCTGCAGGTTTGGATCAGCTGCCAGCAATAACTCTCCAGACTCTAGCTTTGGCAACACAGGCCTTTATACTTAATAAACCCATCTAGGCTTTATATTCAGGGTCATAAATGACACATTTTTGAATGTGAGAGTCATAGACTAAAGCATAGTCACCTGCAAACTTTGCCTTTCATGCTTATCTTGTTTGAGTTGCCCTATTGTGGAAAAATGCCAGCTCACACTGATGAGAAACTAATATTTTTTTGTGGCTACAGAAAAGCTTATTTTGAAATCCTGAAGTTGACAGTGCTGAACATGAAAGGTAAACTATCTGGCAAGCTACGGAGAGCGTTGATGGAGGGTTCTGGTACAGCCTGATAAGTATGTTCCCACCTAAACACTTAAAAGGGTATAATAAAATGTAATACTGAGAAATTAGAAGAGTGCCTTAGTCCCACCCTGTCGACACTCAAAGCCCTTCTGATAGGCAGATTTATTCTGGAAACTGTCCTTTACTGTTTTGGTTATGTGGTCTGCTCAAGTCTCTGATGAAGCAGACATTAGTTCCAGAATCAATTGCAATTCTTTTTTTTTTTTTTTTTTTTTTGGCAGAAAAAGTCCTGTACCTATAACCCCACATTTTGAAGAATGGTTTGACAGTAGATTCCTCTCCTCCCTTAGACCTTTCCAACCTTCCAGGCAGAACCCCACCCTCACCCCCAAAGAACACAGGCAAAGATGTATTAGCATAAATAATTTAATGCAAACTCTCTAGTAACATACACTAGTGGACTTGACAGTTCACTCAGGAGTATCAGGGCTGAGGGACCAGGAAGTGGGGAGCGCGATGGAAGTAGAGCATGTGAAAACAGGTAGCTGAGAGGCAGACCTCATGCTAGCCTGCTGGTGACCCGTCTTGGTCAGCTAAACTACCCTGGACAGGAAGTAGCTGGGCCAGGCTAAGAACACTCAGTTCTCCTTTCCCGGCCTATCCCAGGTTTCTGACCTTTTCCCTTGGGAAGCCTTCTTCATTCGAGGTCCTGGGAGGTGAGGAAGGTGTGGCAAGATAAGAAGCTGCCTAACTGGGTTTGTAGGTGCTATTAGCTGAGCATGGGGGCCCCCCATCTAGTCCTTCTCTGGGGAATGCCTCTAAGGACTTGGGTCTTCACTGCAGCATCTTCAGACAGGATGGGATGAGCGATGGGGCCTTGCCCTCAGGGGGCTGCCCTCCCTCTGTGGCATCCAGGAACTGCTGCATATAACACGATGTGCCAAGCAGCACATGGCCTGTGGCCTGCATGCTGAAGAGGGCCCAACGAAGAGCTTCCCTGGGTGGAAGAAAAAGGCACTAGAGTCAAAACACAAAGAAAACCCCTCCCTACAGCCTCTAAATGCTGCCTCCATAATTTCATAAATTGTAGAGTGATGTGTCAACAGGAACAGATGCTGCCTTCCCTTAGCAAATGGGAAAGGGTCTACAGACACTGCCTGCAATCATGCCTTAACTGAGATGTCCGTCACCTCCCTATTTTCTCATGGAAAATTCACCCTCATTTAATAAGACCTTTAATTTTTGTAATACTGCTTTAGGCCAGCCAGATTAATCTCCATCCCATGGCTCTGTCCTTCATGACCTCTGTTCTAGACTCTGAGACCTTTCCAAGTCATGTGTAGTCTAGCTAATGTTCAGAGCGCTGGACATGAAGATCTTCATGCTTGGTATTACAATGTAATGAGAATAGAACTTGAGTCAAATAGGCCAGAGTTCTAATCCAGTCTTATCAGCTGTGTGAAGGTTGGCAAACTGCTATAGTTCTGAGCTTCTGCTTCCCCAACCATAAAATAAGATCATACTATTTTGATCCCTCACAGCGTTCTGAGGTTGAAATAACCTAAGTCACTTAATGTGGAGCCTAATAGGTAGATGAGTAGGGTAAACGTGGGGTCAAGAGTAGCTGGTGGAGGGGCGCCTGGGTGGCGCAGTCGGTTAAGCGTCCGACTTCAGCCAGGTCACGATCTCGCGGTCCGTGAGTTCGAGCCCCGCGTCGGGCTCTGGGCTGATGGCTCAGAGCCTGGAGCCTGTTTCCGATTCTGTGTCTCCCTCTCTCTCTGCCCCTCCCCTGTTCATGCTCTGTCTCTCTCTGTCCCAAAAATAAATAAATGTTGGAAAAAAAAAAAAAATTTAAAAAAAAAAAAAAAAAAAAGAGTAGCTGGTGGAATGCTTGACTACTTCAACCAAGTTCTTGTCCAAATCTATTTAAAAGAGATAGACGAGGAAGAGTCACTAGGGGTGTTTAGTCCTAGGGGAGATCAGGGAGGGGAAAACAAAAGGAAAATAAAGACTTTCTGGCTGGTATTAAAACTTACAAACTGTTAACCTTCATTCAATAAATGAACTTATGGTTAAGGTATAGGGAGACAAAGATGATCAGAACTCTAAACATCTACACATGAAAATTCTTTAAAATGTTAGGGGCGCCTGGGTGGCTCAGTCGGTTGAGCGTCCGACT